CACCGTATGGGATGGTGTTGGGGATGCGCAGGCGAACGCCACTGCCCCGGCGCCGCCGCCCCCCGCCCCAGCCCGTTTTGCACCGGCATTTCGGCTTGAGAAGCGCAGCAGGAGGATGGATGCTCAGGATCAGAGGGTGCGCAGGCCATCCCTCTCTGACTCCTCCGTCCCAGCCGAACCCCTCCCTGAAACGGGCCCCGTCCCCGCTCGGGCCGCGCGGGGTCACCGCCTTTGGGTCGTTTCGGGCCATGTGCGGCTGTGTGTTTCTTGTGGGTTTTTTACCACGGGTACGGCTGGGCACTTGCTGCTTGACTGCCCGTCGCAAGACCATTCGCACCGCCTGTCGGAACGAGCCCGACGAAACCGACGACAGTTTTTGGCGGGCTACCATCCCGCGGATGAGGGACGCTCGGACTCCAGGAGAGTCCCTGCCCCTCGTCCTCCCCATTTTCGGGGTCCAGAGACTTTCTGGGTCAGGCTCCTTGGGAGCCCCACCACATTGTCTTAAGGGGCCTAGTGGACGCGAGAGCGGAGCACCTGCCTGCAGTGTGCCCCCCGCGCTTCGCTTTCCATAATAATTTTGTGTTCCGCGCCGTCGCCGAGATCCCTAGGGTGGGCTTGGGTGCGATCGGGGCTCCCTGGGGGGGGCGTCCGCGCCGCCCTCGTTATGTTGTGTCGGACAGTGCACTGCGCGTCCGCTCCAGCCAGCGTCGTATCCTCCTCCTCCTCCTCCTCCTCCTCCTCCCTCCTCCTCCTCCTCCCCTCCTCCTCCTCCTCCTCCTTCTCCTCCTCCTCCTCCTCCTCCTCCTCCTCCTCCTCCTGCGCCCCGCCACCGCTCCCAGGATGCCCCGTCGGGCTCGCAGGGGCGTTCCTGGGAACCGTCAAGGTGCCAATGGGCTGGGGGAGCCCCGCGGGCACGGTGCAGCACGTGCACCGACGGCTTCACATCGCCGGGGGGGGTCATCCCCAGGGGCCCCTTCGAGGCGGTGAGGTCCGCAAGGACAGGTGCTCCCCGCCGCCGGTTGCCCGACTGGACCTTGCGGCGGCCGCCCAGCCCGAGGCGGTGACGTCAACGCGGTCGGCGAGAGACGCTATAGGCGGCCTAGGCGGGAGGCGCAGCGCGAGGTGGTCGCACTTGCGCAGTCCGGCCAGGCCGGCCCCTTGGGCCAGCTCTGGCAGCTCTAGTGCAGCGACACCCGCTATGCTCGCATCGTCGGCGCCCACTGCTGTTTCCACGAGCCGGTCGGGGCCGAGATGGGCCTGGCGGCGGTCGCAAGGGCGCGACGCGCCACCGGGGAGGTGCCGATGTCTTCGAAGCGGTGCACGCGGGTCCAGCTTGCCTGTCGCCTTCTTGGCGCTCTCGTCGACGGCGTAGACGGGCACCTTCGCCTGCCCTCGAAGAGGCCGGGCTTGCTCGCGCGCAGTCCGCGACGGTTTTTGTGGAGCGGAGCGGCCGCGCCCGCGGGCGGCTCGACGTTTTGCGTGGCCGCCGGGTCCCCGCGCGCAGCTCCGGGCGGGAGCTGACCGCGGGCGCGCGCGCGGCCTCGCGGCGGGCGCTCGCGGGCCGGGGGCCCCGTCGCCAGGGGCGCGACGCGCGGGCCTGCGAGACGTAGGAGGCGCTCCTCGGGCCGGCTCTGCAGGCCGCGCCTCGCGGCGCGAGCTGCGCGCCGCCGCGCCCCCGCTCCCCGCGGCGAGCGGCAGTGTCCGAGAGAGGGGGAGGCTGCGCCGCGGGGGCCCTCGCGCGAGGGCGGGGAGGCCACGCTCCGCGAGCCGGGCGCCTCCCAGGGGGCACTCGGGGACAGCGCCGGCTCCGGTGGGGGCGGTGCCACGCGGGGCGGGCCGCTGGGCTATTGGAGGGCCTCGGTCTGGAGGTCGATCCGCGCGGCGCGGCTGCAGCGGCGCGCGGAGCTCGTCGGACGTCGCAGGCAGCGCGGCCAGACTGCCGCGGGGGCGATCGCCGCGGAGCGGGATACATTGTCCTCGCTCGCGCGCCGCACGCTGCGGACATCCTGGCAGTTGGCCGTCTGCCAGGAGGCCGCCCGGACGCCGCGGGCCGAGAGGGCGAAGCTGCGAGGTTGTTGCTCGACGCTCTCGAGCAGGTCAGCGCCGACCTGCGCGCGTGGCACCTGTTGGAGACGGCGCCGGTCAGCGCCGGGGCCGACGTGTTCGTCGCGAAGGCATGGCCTCCTTTCAACGTCATCCCTTTGCGCTCGCGTAGCTCCAGCGTGTCCGGGGTGGGGGGCGATGCCCATCATCGGCTATGGCCATTGCGTCGAGGCCCCGAGTTCATTTGGATATGCGGGGGCCTTGGATCGCGGGCACCTTCAAGCCCAGGGGGGCCAGGCGAAGGTGGCCTCGGGCGAAGGGGCCCGACCAGCCCCTCACAGCGAGGTGCTCGCTAGAGGCCTCGGCCTCCAGCGAGGGTACCTCGAGCGCGCCGTGCGCAAGAAGGAGAGCTTGTCGGAAGATGCGGCCGGGATGTTGATGGCGGGCGCGGCGCAAACCATGCTGATCGTGCCGGCGGCTGCGTTCATCGTCGGGCAGTGGGCTTAGTGGCGCAAGTTCCTTGTCTCCCCCCCCACCGTCACTACTGCGCGGGGGGGGGGGCTCGAGGGGGCGCCGCTTGCCCGGGCGGTCATTGGCCGACCCCCGGAGACGCCGACTCTGCCAGAGCTGCGCCGCGTGGCTCTGAGTGGCGTGGCCCGAGGTGCCATTTTCAAAGGGTCGGGCGTTCGCCTCGCCACCTCAACCTAACAGTGGAGGCCCATGCCAAGAAACACCTTGCCTACCTCCAGGGTGCCCTGGGTTTCTGGAGTTTCGATGGTTTTGCCATGGAACGCGCGACGTTCCCACGCCACATAGCAATGGACGTCCTGGGGTCTCAGGGCTGGGTTTCTTGTGGAAGGTTTCTTGTGGTCGGGCCTCCATTGTGATTAATCCTTGCAGCTGGCCCCGCCGAGGGGTTGAGGCAGTCGCTGGCGTCGGCGGGCCAGTCTGTCCTAAGCTCAGGGCGGCGAGCTTATCGGCGCGCTGGAGCTGAGGGCAGTCTGGGCGGCGCACCGGTGGAGGCCGCGGAGGGCGAGCAGTTCTCAGCGCCGCGGCCTCCACCTACGCGACGGCCAGGTCACCAGGGCGCTGTGCAAATGGCGCAGCTCGTCCCGGGCAACTCCGCATGTTCTTGGCCACATGATGTCTCGGGGGCGGCCAAGAGGGGGATGATGACCAGTGGGGCCTGGGTATCACGGCGTGTGCCACGATGTTTTCTCAGATGTCATGGCGCCCTTTCTTATTTCATTACGTCCCTGGCCTGCCCCTGGGCCGCGCACGTGCCGCTGGCCATGATCTGCGGCCCCCCCTCTTGGCCGCCCCCTTCTCGGCCGACCTCGAAATGTCGTTGCTCGCCGTCTCCAGCAGCTCCTCCCCAATGCACGCACTCGTGCGGTCGGCAGACAACCCTGCCGACAAGCCATCGCGATGGGGGAGAAAGAACGTAGAAAAACGTGATCTGGAGGCACGGCGCGCACGACGACGACGACAGGCCTGCACCTTCCGTGAGTTTTCGAGTCAGCCACGGACGCGTGCGAGGCATGGCAGAGCTGCAGGCCATTCCACATGGCGTGGCGGCGAGCAAGGCATGGCAGGGCTGCGAGGCGGAGTCGGTTCCAGCCGGAGCACACGGAGAGCCAATTCCCTGACGCCGCCGAGGGCGCGGGCCAGGCAGCCGCCGGCCGGGAGTCTGCCAGCAAGCGGGGCCGCCACGGGGGCCCGAGGC